AAGAAACTGTTGGATACAGGTAAACTGAGGAAGCACGAGATAGCTGAGATCTGATGGCAGAGGACAAACTGCCAGTTCTGGTATCTAAAACAGGCTTGCCCACAGAGGAAAGATGATTTTCTTATAGATGTGACCCTGCAGCTTTTCTGCTCACTGTAGCAGGCAGGATCTGGGGTCTCCTAACCTCTTTAGGCCATGCACGTTGCACACACCTCTGATCTCCACCAGCATGATGAGCAGCAGTGTAGAGTTGCGTCATAGTCATTGAAGATGTCAAACAAATAGATCCCAGCCTCCATGGTGAACGCCATGCCAATGGTACTGTTGATGAGGCACACAAGACCAGGTACACAAGGTCACTGCTCATCTGTTTGATACTCCCTGAGTAATCACACATTGGATGTCAACAAGAGCCATTGATCCCTAGGTGTGCTGTGGAGGGTGAGTTCCCACATCAGCTCTAGAAGCTGCTTTCCAAGGGATTTCAGAGCAGGAAAACAACAACAACAGTCAGCTCTTTGGGGGATGTCATAATGGCTAGGAATGCTGAAGATACCAATAAAGTAGCCCCTGTGAGAAATGGCCACCTCAGGGTGGCTAGTGACTAAGTCTCACAATGCAGCCTGAGACATTGGGTTCCTGGCTTTTATATGCCTCTCTAGACCTGGGATTATAGGCATGAGCTCTGTTAATCTTTTAGACTGCTTCATTTTAGTGTATCCCTTGGAGGTCTCGAATTCACAGAATTCTTCCCAAAGGCGTGTGCCACCACTGCCAGGCTAGCTAGTATGGTCGCTGGGATTAAAGGTATGTATCACCATTGCCTGACCTCTATAGCGTTGGGAAGGTTCTGCTTTGTGAATCCTTGGGCAAGCTTTGATAAATCATAAATTATATATTGAAAGACCTGCGCAGGGCCTTGCATGCAGACTCAGGAATGGCGGCTCTCCAAATTATTCACGAGAAGCTGTCTTGATGCAAAAGCGTGAGGTTTTTATATTGCAGTGCACTGGGGTCTGCAGATATACTCCACGTGGGATAAAGGACTGGCAACACTTGTTAAAGGCTTCAGACCGCTTTTATAGGCTTACAACAAAGGCTGCACCATACAAACCTATCGTCTCATAACATCCAGTGTGGATGAATCAAATTGAACTATCTAAGCCCGAGCATTGCCCAGGAAGTCTGCTTTCGCTAGGGCTTCTGGGTAGTGTGGCACAGGTCATTTCCTGTTCTCATTCACTCACGGGTGCTGTCCATAAACTGCTCTGTCTTAAACAGTTAAGAATGACCTTTTGCCTACTCACTGCTAAGGGGCAGAGTCTGGGGGAAATTAGGCTAATTTTTTCCATCCTTCATTCCCCACGTCTTCTCTGGGTAAATTCTAATCTTAGAACTGGCAGGACTAAAAGGCCATAATTTGGACCGCACTCATTCGCTCCCTAACAAATATGACAGTCTACAGCAAACAGCAGGCAGATGGAAGCCGCACCCCCCCACACTGGAGTTACACCAAAGACTCACAGAACAAAAACGCATTAAACAGAAATTAACAGATTCAGACATGTGACGGAACTCGGGCCTGCCGACCAGCCAGAGCCAGAAACTAGAAGCCTCCCTGCTGGAGGTAGTGAAGTGATTCAGACACATATGTCGCCGGTGCACGACATTGAAATTGGACCTGCTGTCGAGCCAGAGCCAGAATCCAGAAGCCTCCCCTCCCCACAGGAGGTAACTAACAGATTCAGACACATGTGGCACAGGAGGGCCGCGTAAGAAGTTTCCATAGGCAGAAGCATACAAGTGGCCGTCCACAGGCTTTTTATATCCGCCCGGGTCTCCAGCAAACAGGCAGAAAACAGATACCAGAAAACACATATTCAGAACAGAGACGCCGGCCAACACAAACAAGTACACACATACACACACATCAGAGGGGATCCCCGTACCTCCATGTCCGGGTTCTCGGGTGAGATGGGTGGTCGTGGTTTCAGAGCTATTCCCGGCCAACACACCAAATGAAAGATCCATGGAGGGCTCGAACCCTCACGCCCCGACTCAGGAAAGGTGCCCCCCCCCCCATTCACTCAGGAGAAGCGGTATTGATTGCAAAAGCATGAGGTTTTTATATTCCAGTGCACTGGGGTCCACAGCCATACTCCACGTGGGGTAAAGGACTGGCAACATTTGTTAAATAATGTTTAAAATGGAAGAGAGGAACCAGGTCTGACACACGCCCATCATCCCAGCACTTGGGAGGCAGAGGTGGGAAGATCAGGATTTCAATATCATTCTTCTGTCTTTAAAAAAGTAAAGACAGGAAAGACAGGAGAAAGTGATCTAAAATTCTTACACTGTTTGAAAGGGAAGTCATTGAATACTCTCTAACATTAACCTGTGTTAAGTTAAATATTAAGAGATTTCAGGAAGGAGATATGAAAGTCCAAATTTCAAACAGTAGAGTATATATAGTAGAAAGGAAATAAGAGAGAGAGAATAGCAGGAGCAGGGGAAAGAAAGTAATTCTTAAAAAAAATAAAATAAAATAAAATCAGTAATTATAACATCTTGGACATAAAGCCAATCTCAAAAACAAGCGAGGAAAAACTAACTGTCATAACCAAAAGAAGGGAAATGAATGGATGCCAAAGCTTAGAACAGGCGCCATAGATGCCCAAGTGGGATCTAGATCTCGAAGCCTGAGTGCCAGCGTCTTGGTGTCTGAGTTGTGCAGAAATGCAGGGTCAGGCTATAGATCCTGTAGGCAGGGTTCAGAGCTTTACAACGGTGCTGGTTAGTTTTATGTCAACTTAACACAAACTAGAGTTACCTGAACGGAGGGGACCACAACTGAGAAGATGCTTCCATAAGCTGCAGGGCATTTTCTTAATTAGTGATGGGGAGGGGAGCAGCCCATTGTGGTTGGTGCCATCCTTGGCCTGGTGGTGCTGAGTTCTATAAGAACGTAGGCTGAACATGCCACGAGCAAGCCAGTAAGCAGCACCCCTCCGTGGCCTCTACATCAGTTCTTATCTACAGGAATCTACCTTGAGTTCCTGATGGAGGTGTAACCCAAATAAACCCTTTCTTCTCCAACTTGCTTCGGGTCATGGCCTTTCGTCATAGCAATTATAACCCTAAATAGAACAACAAGCAATGGGAGGAAAGTGTTGTATCTCTCCGTGGACTGACTTAGAATGGTAAACCCAGAAAACAAAAAAAAAAACCCAAACCAACCAACTACTCCCTAACCTCACCAATAAGCGAGGGCCATGGAAACTTTATCCTGGCCTTGAAAGTATTCTCTAAAAGCTGTCTGAAAAAGTCTTTATAGTAAATCTAAGAACTAGTCAGAGTGTTCACCTAACACTTGGAATTTCACTGTGTTCAAAGTACAGGAAAACAATTGTGCTTGAGACTCCAATAAAATCAATGATAATAGTGAAACAACAATAAAAAGGGCTGAAATACAGACACTGAAAAGAAATGTGCCAAATCATATCTGCAGGTTACAGGATAGTTTATAGAGAAAACAGAAGCAATCTGTAGTTGTGAGAATTCATGAGGAAATGCATCAAGATTTCAAGGTAGAAGACTAACATACAAAAATGTTTATGTGTCTTCTGCAACCAACATAAACAATGGTAGAAATAAGGAGAAAGACACTATTTACAATAGCAATGTAACAGAAGATATGCAAAGACATTCACAAAGGAAATTAGCTGACAGGGTTAGGTGAATGAGAGAAAGCATGTTCCTAAATCAAAACCCAATCCCCAAGAACAAAGATGGAGGGAGAGACAACACTCTTCCATATCCCTACCGAGTTTAAAGAAAATCCTGTTACAACTAAAGAGTGAGCCACAAGAGAAGGCCACAGTCAACAACAGAGAGTAAGAAAATATAAAAATCAAAAATACTTAGATTTACAGGGCCATCCAGGGCTACATGAGAAGTGAATCAGACTAAAAGAGAAAATAATTCTCTCCAAAGCCAGTTATGAAGCTTTAGAAGCATGCAGTGGCATATGTCCTCTATATACGCCGTATTTGATCACTTTAAATTATAATAAAGGAGACAGAGAATTAAGAATGAACTTTTTAAAAATCTATAGCTTAACCTTTTCTTGACTTGATTTTGGTCTGGCTAGATTAACAGGAGGAGGGAGGGTTAGATTTTTCTTAAACAGGTTAAGTTTTGTCATACTCCAGTTTAGCATCTTTCACAGTTCTGAGGGTGAGAAAGAAGTGCTGATTAATTCCCCCAGGTGCACACACACATGCTATTAGGTAAACAAGAACCACCAGGCAGCTTTAGAATACTTTTTTTAGTTCTCCTTTCCATGCATGCTTTTAAGCACAACTGCTTTAAAATGTTACCAGTTTTGAATCTGACTTCCTTTCTTTCCACTTAATAGATGATAAAATGTTAAGAGGAAATATTCTTAAAACTTTACCTCTAAGGCTGTCAAGGGCACCATTAGGTGAACGTTCCACAATTTATTGAACCAACCCCCTTTTCTGAAGGGCTTGGAATGTTTTTAACATTTTGATCTTATTCAAAGACAGTGAACACGTTATTTTCTGCCTCAGAACGCTGACTTGTCCTTTAGACAAGGCTTTAGAAAAATGGAGTTGGAGAGGAATTTTTTTTTTTTTTTTAATACATGCTGAGACTTACTTCCTTCATGCCATACTGGCTTCAGAAAGGTACTTGGCCTTAGGAAGGTCAGGGTCTGAGTCCCAGGAGTTCCCTGCTCTTTGTTCCACTAACAGGAATGCATGGTGAGTTTGCAGCTGTCTGTTCTACCCCTCACCCCTTGGACTCCCTGTCAGAGAAAACATTGTAAAAAACAAAACAACCTCAGGACCAAGAAACAAAGTATCCATGCGTGGGATTATTTGTTTTTCCTGCCTTCTATAATTGCAAACCCAAATCAAGTCTCCACAACCACAAACCAATCTTTTTCTTTATTAATAAAAAGTAAAGAAGCAACTCACGACCCTTTTGATTTGTGTTTCCACTTGTGGTAGGGGACTTAAATTTCCGATCTGTGGGTCGCTCACTTTTACACCTCAGTAGAGGGTGAGGCGCCTGTCCTGCCACACTGGGGCAGCAGGTTCCCTGCTGCTGCCAGGCACCTTCTGGAGCTGCAGCTCCTGCTCAGAACCGCTAGGCTCAGTATCTTAGGGTGAAAGTCCCTGCGCCTTGGGTTCTGGACTGTCCTAAGTACCTCTTGCCCTTGAAGCCCCTGGGACCAAGCACTTTCTTTCCTGAGCTGGGGTGCTCTGGACAGAAAGCCGCCGCCACCACCAGCTTCCAGGCACCTCCCATGTCCTGCTAGTGGGCACTCACCTCCGCCGTACATCTGGCACAGGTAGGGGAAGTGCCACACGTTGTCCACACGTAAGCCCACGGCATAGGAGATGCAAGCAAACATGAACTGCAGCCCCACTGAGGCTGTGCCTTCTCCAAGTCCCCAGCTGGCTCGAGGTCAGGTCCTGGTCTCTGGCCTCTGCTCGCCTGCCTTTTAATTGCTAATCATCTCATTAACAAGCGCCAGAGGGGCGAGGTCCAGAAGCTGGTAATGGCGAGCCCCACCCCGCCGAGCCTCTGCAGGAAAGGCGCCCCTCCTTGGCACCAGGTGTGGACTTCAGAGCACAGGGAAAGGATCACATTTCCTCAGCCTCTTAAGGATTCATCGATGACAATACTTATATACCAGGCACCACTGTGCAACAGGAAAACACAGCCCTCTCATGCCAGAGCTGACTTTCAGATGGCGGGAACATTTAAATGCTAAGGGATGATTTGTTCTTGCCTTCTTTTGATCTACTGGGGCAGTTTCATTTGGTACACACCACCTAGTTCACCTAAATCGGAGATGCAGGAACAATTTAAAGGGATAAGTCCTAGAACCTGATAGACAGGAACCCAGGGCGCTCCAGAGGAGAGATGACTTTTGCACAGAGAGTTTGAGTGTGGAGGCTCAGCGGCAGAGCACTGCCCTAGCACCTGTGAGGCCCTCAGTTTGACCCTAAGCTTCTCCATCTACTTGGCCTCTTCCTCACCTGTGGTGTGGCAGAATCAGGTTTTGAGCAACTGCTGTGAGGCCCTTGGAGCTAGAGAGTCTCATTCCCTAGGCTAGGTGGAAACCTAAGATTGTCATGCTTTTGCTGGACCTGACTCCACCAGTGAAGTTGGGTCTGTTTCTCCACTCAACCACTGGTTAAGCTCTCTGACTTGGGACAAGTCATTTAACACCTCTGACTGTTTCATCTGCAATAGAAAACAAAAACAAATCCCTGCTACTCCCACCCCCACCCCAACAAGCTTAAACTACCTATCCCAGAACTTTTCACCTTCAAACAGTAAAGAAAGCAGGCACATAACAGCAGAGAAGGCACTCTGGCTACTTAAGCTTCAGATTATAGGTTTAACTACCCCCACCCCCACCCACACCCACACCCACACCCCCACCCCTGTCTGCTTCCCCCCATGCCTATCACTGATGGATATTTGTCTTGTTCCAGTTTGAGGCTACTATGAACAGAACTAGTGTGCACATTCTAGCTGTTCCTCTCTCTCATTCTCTCTCTTTGTCTCTTTCTCTCTCTCTCTCTCTCTCTCTCTCTCTCTCTCTCTGTGAGTGTGTGTGTGTGTGTGTTTGTGTGTGTGTTTTAAACAAGCATTTATTGGGGGCAGGTGCCACAGAAGGAGTGGAAGTCAGAGACAATTTGTGAGAGCCAGGCAAGTGACCTTTACCATTACCATTTCACTGGCCCTGCAGTTCCGTTTTTAAATTTTTGTGTAGACTTATGACTGTGCAGAGATAGTTCCATTTGCCTGTAGATTTCCCTGACCACTGACAAGTCTGCAACCTTTCCACTTGCTCACTGGGCCATCAAAAGAGCCTGGGGTTTCTGAAATGTCTGCCTGAGCCCTTGATTGGTTTTTACTGGGCTATCTTTTTCTACTGGTTTGCATTTGTTTCCCTACTTTAGCTACAGGCCCTATGTCCACTTTATATACCAACAGTTTCATTTCTTACTGTGTTGGCTTTCTGGCCCATTTTAAGTGTCTTCTATTGGAGTGAATTCTTAACTTCCAGAAAGTTCAATTTGTGCTGGAGATGTATGTAGCTCAGTGTTTAGAGTGCTTGCCTAACATGCGTGAGACCCTGGGCTCTATTCCTACCTCTCCATAAACTGGGTATGTATGGTGGTGTATACCTATAATCCCAGTACTTGGGAGGTAGAGGCAGGAAGATCAGAGGTTCAAGGTCATCCTCAGCTACACAGCTACATAGCAAGTTCAAGGCTAGCCTGTTATTGGAGACCCTATCTCAAAAAGTAAACAAGTAAGCAGAAGGATTAGAGTTTAGTTTCCAGCATCCACATGGTGAGCTCACTACCATCTGTAACTCCAGGTGTAGTAGGGGATCTGATGGCTTCTTTTTTTATTTTTTTTTTTTTGAGGGCACCTATATGTGCTTGTACATACACACAAACATATACACACAAAATAAAAATAAATATTAAAAACAAACAAATCTATCAATCTTTTTAAAAAAGTTGTCTTCATGACCTTTTTTTTTTTTCTCATGTGTTACTTTACACAATCTTTACCTACCAGGAGAGTAGTAGATGCCTTTAATTCTAGCACTTGAGAGAGAGGAGAATCTGTGAGTTTGAGGAGACCAGTCTGGTTTAACATAGTGATTACAGAGAGATCCTGTCTCAAAAAACAAAAACAAAACAACAACAACAAAAAAAAAATGCAAACAACAACAAAAAGCCCAACTTCTTCCTTATCAAGTCCAAGGTCATGAAGCTATTCCTGAGGAGTCAACCCCTTAGCAAAGCTAATCTCAGCAGTGAATGAGTTACTGCCTAGAAATTGCCCTTCACTGAACCTGGATCTCAAGTATTCTGCTAGGCTGGCTGGTTAATGCACTGCAGGGATCCTCCTGTCTCCATATTTTCCCTCTCCTCAGTATTTGGAGAAATAGTCATGTGCCACTGTCCCTGACCTTTTACCCAATGAGCCATCTCCAGCCCCAGCTGTCCTGGTAGAGGGTCTATCTAATGGCATGGTGGTGAATAGTTTGGATAAAACAGTTCTTGCTGCCTCCAGCTATGTACTTATGTTTTGGGTATCACAAATTAGTTCTCCTATAGGGTTCTTAGCCACATAGTGACATTTAGGAACTGGATACCTCAGAAAGATACCCAGGACAGTTACCATGGGATTTGTTGGTACAATGGTGGCAGTGCCCTTCTTTTAGTCCTTACCCCAGGGACCAGGCCAGCATCTGGTCTTAGCTGCCTTGGGAAACCATCCCAATATGTGAGTCTCAGTAAGTGAAAATCTCTGCATTTGTGTGTCTGTGGTGTGTGTCTGTGTGTTTGTGTCTCTGTGGTGTGTGTGTGTGTGTGTGTGTGTGTGTGTGTGTGTGTGTGTGGTATAAAGTATCACCCAGTCCAAGTAAATGCAAATAAAGTAGTCAGATCACCACATCAACCCAAACATGCACTTGGTAACTTTTATCTGAGATGATTCTTTGAGTGATGGACTACTACAATTACAAAGAGTGTGGTCGTGGGGGACCTCTACATGGAGAGAGTGATGCAGTGTGTTAACATTAATGGTAGACTGACAGATGTATATTACCTTTTTGCAGAAAAATCTCTCATCTGCTTGTTAATTTCTGTGCAAATACCTCAACTTTAGGCTATTTTGAGCTTCCAACATATCACCGGGCTGGGTTGGGGAGAAGACATTTAGTGGCAAACCATCATGTTGAATTCTCACCATGCATGTACAGTGACATGGGTGGCCACAAGACCTTAGCTGATAGTAAAGAGTAGCAAATAACTGGAAATGATTTTTAACTTTTACTTCTGCTTTAGATAATTTATATAATAACTTAGTCCTCAGGAAGGACTGTACTTAATAAAACAAATTCTCAAAATCCCTCCATATGCCCTAACTGGTTACTCAGAGCTCTGTAGAGGATTGGGCGGTAGAGCCAACTCAGCTCTTTGAGGTGTTTGTTTCTCTTTCGGGTGCTTGGTGTCCCAGAAGCAGAGTTTTCAGACAAGCTTTAGTGCTCAGAGGAGCCTACTCTGGCTTGTGGGAGAACCCTTTCTTCAGACTTTACTTTCATAGCATCTATGACAATGGCAACACCGAAGTTCATGTTATGCACTTTCCTAAAGAGGAGAAGAGGGGGCCATGACTGCATGGGTGAGGGCCACTAAGTGCATCCCGGATTCTATATTCTTACCTTATTAATATGAAGGCCATGCAGCTTTCAATCATTTGCTCATCTTGGTGATTTCCATTGTTACCTAACTACCCTCTAGAGCTTCTAGTTCCCCACAAGATAAAGTCCAAACTCCTTAGTTTGTTTGGAAAGCTTTGAAGATTTTTTTTTTAATTCAGCCCTGAGGAATTTGACCCTTGCATACATGGGTTCTAGAAAACAGAGTTTTAACTCTGAAGTCTAAAAATACACAGCATTTTGCTGCAGGTGAGAAACCTACCTCTAAGGATGAATAGGACATATCAGCCATAGTCCCGATGGAACACATACAATTCACTTTTCAGAACAAATGCATCTCTGCAGGGCTTAGGGCACCAAGATCTGGCTCAGTGGTTAAGTGCACTTAGAGGACCCCAGGTTCAATTCCTAGCACCCACATGGTGGTTCACAACTATCTGTAATTCTTTTAACAGGGGATCTGATACCCTCTTCTGGGTTCTGAAGGCTCCTGTCACTCAGGAACAAATGCATGCACATTTATTTTTGAAAGTAAAACTGAAACTTTGATACTACTATGTATATGAAGCTATTGTTTTTCTTATGTATTTTTAGATAGATATTACAAATTTTAAAATGGCTCTTCTCCTATATTTCCTGGGTCATGTATCTCACACTAAGTACTCTGACCTTTTCAGAAGCTGTCCACATCCTTACAGTCTCCAGGATTTTGATATTACGTCCAGGGTAGCCTCACTACAGTAACTAGTGTGCATAGCATCATCATGTGGAATTTCATTTGCCAAGTATTCCGCAACACCACAAACTTGCAGCAAAGCCTATTTTTTGTCAAGAAACAGCCTGTAATTTACTGTTAATTATGACAATCATTTAGCCACTTGTAGCTAGTGGCTTCTGTGTGTGGACTGGAAAGACACAGAACATCATTGTACAATTTCCACTAGGCAGTCCTGGCCTGGAAGTTCAATGATAACGCCTGCCATGCAGCATTCCTCTCTATGCTTAGACTGCAGGCAGCTGTGTGGGATGGAGCCCTACGTTGCATTGTGCACTGCTTCCTCAGAAAAGGATGAGACTTTCTCCTCGCCTCTGATCCCTCTTTGGGTGCTGACCAAGCTCATGTCAGGGTTCTCCAGAGCTACAGCTCCTCATCC